AGCAAGGGTTCTCTCTGGTGGTAGGAATGTTATTTTACTCTTCCAGCTTTTCTGTTTGTGGACAGGTACAAAGGAGATGTCAAAGGTCCACCATGGGCATGCATTAAATCCTGGCCACTACCCTCCACAGCCCAGACCACAGTTTGGAGGCAATGGGGAACCATACAGAATGATTTTCCTGGAAGACATTTTAAGAGAAACTTTGTTGAAATCCTTTGCTTTGAGCTGAAGATCCAAGGAGCAGAGGACATTGGTGGCTTGCTAATCCTTGTCCCATAGCCCAAGTGCACAAACTTTCATCCTTTAGGTGACAGTCCTGGGAAAAGAGAGAACTTGGTGGCAATCACAGGTAAGGACACTTCTTGACAATCTTTACTAACTCATCCATTCAGTGACTAGAACTTGGTTAGAGAAAAAAGTGCACACAGCAGGACTCCCTCCCTCAGGGTGGCTCTGAGCGTCAGAACCTTGGCCAGTTCCCAGGTTTGTACTTAGAATGACGAAGTGGGAATAGATCATCTTTAAGGTCTTGTCCAGCCCAGAACTTCCCTTGTGATGCCAACACACACAACTTAAGTGTCATCCAGAGGAATAACCTCACTGCTACAGAGTGACAAGGCTTAGCAGGTGGTGCCGTGCCATGGAGCCCAGCAAGGCAGGCAACCAACTCACGCAGGCAGCTACAGAATCGGAGGTGGAGATGCCTCTCGGGGTCTTGCAGGATGTTTATGAGTTGTCCACAGCACAAGTAAGAAGAGACCAAAACCAAAAAGATGAGGAAAACCAATGTCCCCGTGGCCCCAGGAGGAAGTCCTGAATGGGGGCCCCTCAGAGGCAGGAAGTGGGAGGCTCATGCAGGAAGGAAGAGCACTTTAGTGCGGACCTTGGGCTGTCGGGAGCACATGGAGAGCACATCTGGGAAGTGGGCGGGACAATACCTGGTGGGCACAGAGAAGCTGTAATACGAGATTCCTTGCACACCCCGAGTCCTCTGACTTCAACTCAAAGCCAAATGATTTTGCCAACCGTTCTATCTTCCCTCTGCCGAACTTCAAGGGCACCTGGTAAAATCTTCTATGTGTGAAATTCTCATATTGTAGATGCTATCTATTGAGGGATTCCTTTCTCATTAATTAACACATGTTCTTTACATATGAAAGACATTAATCTTCTGTTTCTTTCATATACTATACTTTCCCAAGTTCCTCATTTATCTTTCTTGCATTGTTTCTAAATGTAAAGTTTCCAAATATTTCTATATTCAAACCCATGGTTTTCTTCTTGCCCAATTTTTATTTTTTACAAATTGTTTTATCTATTTAGACTTGAATCTGATTATTTTATTTTTCCTTACAAAAGACCCACTCATTTGCCCCCAAGTTCATGTAGGACAGTTTTCTCCCAGTCATTTAACGCACCATTTTGTCACAATACACACGGGCAGATACTCTCTTTCGCTCCATTGGCCTGCCTTCTTGCAGCAGCTGTATGCTGCAATACTGTAGTTCGGTGACATATTTAACATCTGCGGGGGCAAATCTTCCCACCTACTCATTCTCAAAATCCCCCCATCGAGTTTCATAAATGCGTATTTTCAGGTGAAACTTGACTCGATCACATTCCCCCCAAAGGCACATTAGAACTATTGTTGGAATCGGGTGCCATAACAACGGGTGTGGCCTCTCGTCTGATGAGACCCGAGATGCTGGGGGCAGAGAATGCAACCTGCTGTCCTGGCCAGCCCCCTTCACAGGTGCACCTGATGAACCCCAGGGATTGCAGGGGGCGCTGCAGCCATCTGAGACCTGCATGGGGCCTGGCACAGTGTGACGTCTTTGCTCTCACAGGTGCTACTCATCCAGCAGGCAGAGAGGGGCAGATGACTTCCTGAGAGGGAATGGAAAGAAACTCCTGAAAGCCTCAGGTTCTGTGACTAACAGGTGTCAGTCTCAGCTTCAGGAAAGTAACAGGAAGTGAAGGAAATGACGGGGTTGCTTTCATGCACTACAAAGTGGGCGACTTCGCATGTTTCCTGTGTTTTTAACTGTGAGAGGGAAATTTCAGGGAAGCTGTGGCCCACATTGGTGGCCCCTCCTACTCATCACCTTTCGTCTGACAGCTCTGCATCACTGTGAAGGAAGACCTGAGAAAGACAACTTAAAGGAGGAAAGGTTTATTTTGGCTCACAGCATGAGCCATGGTTTCAGTCCACAGTCAGCTGGCTCCTGCCTTGAGGCCTGGGGTGAGGGAAGAACATCGCGGTGGAAGGGTGTCGGGGAGGAGAGCTGCTCACCTCACACAGCCAGGAGGCAGAGAGGAAGGCAGTGTCCCCAAGGTCATGCCCCTCATGACCCAGTCCCTTCCCCCAGGCCCCGCCTCCTGTTTCCATCACCTCCCAATAACACCATCCATCAAACTTATGATCTTCTCGATGGACTGAGGAAGTCAGGAAAAGCCCATCAGCAGGGAACATTTCCAATCCAAACCATAATAGCCCTCACAGTGTCCCACAGGATCCTGTCATCCCTGCTGAGCACACACTGGGTGCCCAGGGCCCTGTTCACCCTCCCGTGTCCCCGCAGTGGACCTGGCTCATGTCCAACCAGTGTGGCCGGCTTCACCGACTGTAGCACCTGCTCTGCAGCTGTACACTTTAACATCCCCCCTCCCTGACCTTCACAATGTGACTCTTCCAGGAAGCCTGCCAGGCTGGCCATGTTCAGAGCCCACGCTCCCTCCTGTCAAGGCCTTTTCGCAGTGCACATCCAACCTATATTTTAAGTTACAAACTCTTAGATTCAGTTATAACTTTGCATTGATTAGGTTTTTGGGGGGACAGTGTGGTGAGGGGTGATCTGCATCCCTGGTGGGTCCCAGACTCCATTTCAACCCCTAATCTTGCACTGGGCCCCCCACACACTTCTAGCACCTGCATGGTCCCTTGGGTGCTTCAGCATGATATCCTAAGAAATGACATTCTTTCACGATTATCACAGGTCACTGAGCACAGCTGGATGTTCTCATGTAACCTGACAATGACCCTGGTGACAACTGCTGACGTTCACTGAGACTCACTAAAGAACAGCACTGTGAAGCCTACTGAGCCACTGATCTCCACAACCACCCTATGAGGTGGGCAATGTCAGGATTCTCACTTTACCACTGGAGAAACTGAGGTAGAGAGGCAAGTAACATGCCATAGCCGCCTACAATCAGGGAGCCAAAGTCAGGTCTTCCAGCCCGAGAGCCAGTTGTGTTCCCAGCACTCAGGCTGCCCACTGCACAGTGGGCTCCTAGCACAGGGTCCCAGCCCAAGGGCACCTGGGAGGGGCAGCCTGCTTCCCAGGTGGACACCTGTCCTGCTGCCCCTGAAGGCAATCTGCCCACGAGAGGCATCCCTACACCCTGGGAAGGCTCCTCTCTGTCCCCACTGGAAGGCCCTGGGCAAGGAGCAAGGGCACAAATGTCCTCTGACATTCATTACAATCATGGAGCCACCAACCACCTCCTCCACTGAGCGTTGATCATCGTCACTGATGACAATCAGCTCAATCAAGGGATGTTTATTGGTTGAGTGTCACCTACAAGGTAAGGCACTGCAGGGGACACAGGGTAAATCAGACATGGCCTCTCCCACCAGGAACTCAGACCAGGATGGAGGGCTGGGAGCTGTGTTGCTAATGCCCCAGCTAGACTGCCCGCTTGGCCAGGCCATCTCTTCTGTGAAGGGCTCTCCAGGCCACTAGGAGGCGCTGTGGGCCACTGATTGACCACAGGGCTCTGCAACCACACCGCCTGGGCTGTTTCCACCTCCGTGAAGCCCAGCTGAAAGGAGTTAAACAGACAACCCGACGTGCCACCCTCCAGATGGCCTGTGTGCCGGCTCAGCTGGCGGGGCTCGCAGACGCTGGCGGCTGGCTTTCTCCACGCTGCACCCTGAGCCTTTTCCCTCGGCTGACTGCTCTGAGTCCTCTCACTGGAGGCAGTCGGAGCCCTTAGTCCTGTGAGTCCTCCCAGAGGTCACCAGCCTGGGGGCCTCTTGGGGATGGTGACGTTCTAGACATGAGACCTTGGGCAAATGACTTGTTCTTGGTATGGATGCCTTGGCTTCCTATCTGCTAAATGGGGTTCACCTATAATCTCTCACCCCATGCTGGTGACGATGACAAGGGGTGGCGTCAGTAAACTGCTTAGAAGCCTTGGCACCCAGCAGGGGTGCAGTCGGGTAGGCCATGTTCGGTGTCGGCTGGACTGGGGAGAGCGTTAGTGGGCGTGTCTGGGAGGTGAGTAGCATGAGTCGAAGCAGACCGAGGAGGGATGCTCCCTCCTCCATGCAGTCGGCTGGGTCCCACACAGGGCACAGACAGACGACAGGAGAAGGTGCCTGCGAGCTCCTGGGCAGAGGTGGAGTCTTCCACCCTTGGACATCGGCGCCCAGGCTCCGCAGCTGGGAGTGCAGGACTTACGCAGCAGCCCCCAGGTTCTCAGGCTGTGGCCTTGGACACACCGTTAGCCCCTTGGTTCTGAGCCAATTTCTCTGACAAACCCCCTCTCGTACAATCTGCACACGTAGCCCCCAGGCCCCATCTCTTTGGAGAACCCTGATGGGCGACGCACTAGTGACTGAACCGCCAAGAAATAGCACCGTGGTGAGCAGCAATGCAAAGTGCTAATGGTGGCCGGGCGCACTGCAGGGCTCTGGGTGAAACACAACCCCAGCCAAAGCTGGTGGCAAACACTGGGGACAGGAAGGAATGGGATAAACAGCTATGCAGATGGCCAGGTGGCATTCATGTCGGCCTGTCCAGGGAGTGGGCCACCGCGCCCCGCCCCCCAGATAGCCAGTTATCCCAGAGAGCCAGCCAGCCAGCCTATGGCCACACAGGGACCCGACACTGCATGCAGCCCCCAGCACCTCTCCCAGGCTCCCAGGACAAACCAGAGACCCGCACACCCCAGGTCAAGGACAGGCAGGGGCTTACCCATGCACTGTCACTTACTGTTATCCTTTCAGCCACTGTTATGGTGAAAAGGGCTTGCAGCTGCGTTCTGTTCTAGAAGAGAAAGAAGAGGGTGCTTTAGCTGACCGATTCTGGAGTCTGCTACATGGGGTAGCACCTGGTATTAGTTCCAACCAGCTGTGCCTGGGGGTGCAATTGCCCTAGCTGCCAGGTGAGGTGGAGCTGGAGGGGTCCTAGGGTCCCTTTGGGGCACAGGTCTGTGGCATGAGGATATGGCCTTCTCTACTGGAGGCTCATGGGAAACCCAAACACTAATTTCCCAAACCCCAGTGCCTAAGGATCTATACCCAGCACCTCTAGTGCTCTGCTGCTGAGAAGACACAGGTCCCAGGAAAATGAAGGGGGATGCCACCATGTCTAATGGTGCCATGGCGGGGTGCCTGAGCCTTCTTTCTGGGGGTGGAGGCAGGACACCCTGCAACTGGAAGGCAGCACAGGCTTCTGGGTTCCTGCATTGCTCCATCACTCCCAGGCTGTCTGTGCCTCAGCGCTCTGGGAAATGAGACCCACACGCATAGGATTGCTTTGAGATCAAACCAGGGAATTCAGAGCCGGGAAGCGCACAGTGCACACTGGGAGTAGTGCTGCTCGTGGTAGCAAGGGCAGGACTAGTAGGATGGGAAACCCTAACCCTGGGCCTCACCCTGTTCCTAGCCAGTCCTGCTGGGGACACTGGGCCTCAGGGCTGCACCACAGCCCTGGCTCCAGGGCCTGACTCTCCCACCGGAGGAGACAGGAGCTTCCAATGTCATTTCATTCTGAGTTTCTGACACTTAACTTAAATTTTTATTTTCACTGACTCAGTTTCCTGCACTCTGAAATGGCTGATGGCACTCGTGGGCCATTTTATCCTTCCTTCTTATCTCTCTGTTCTCTTTTCTTTGACTTTGTACCTAATCATGTCCTGACAGATCTATCTTTTCTGCCAGTTTCACATGGCTTTCTTGTATCTGGTCTTTATCTTTTAAGCATCTTTTTTTTTTTTGCCTAATTTTATCTGCAGTTTTTTCCCTGAGGCAGCAGAGAGGCTGCACAGGCCCCACGACGGCCTTGGGCACCAAGAGTTCCTGGGGCGGGGGGGCCCTGCTGTGGCCCTGATTTGATTCTGTCACGTGACCGGGCACAGTCACACTTGAAGCCATACTTTCTTTGCCTACAAAAAGGTCTTTCTCCAGGGCCCGAAGTCAGAGAAAAATGGCAAAAGGAACAGAGGCACCATGAGCTCCTTGCAAACAAGGCCCACGTCTCCCCACTGAGTACCTGGGGCAGGCAGTGCTGCCCAGGAGGCACAGCCAGCAGCACTCACTGCACAAGCTGGTGCTCGCTCAGAAAGAGACATGGGCAGTGGAGAAGCTAACAGCAATGCTGTTTGGAGAGAGGGCCTTTAAAGCAGTGGTCAGGGTAAAATGAGGCCACTGGGGGGTCCTAGTCCGACATGGCTGGTGTCCTTATAAAAAGAGGACAGGAGGACACAGATGTGCACAGAGGGACAATCACGAGAGGATACAGGGAGAAGATACCCTCTGCAAGCCAAGGAGAGAGGCTCAGGAGGAGCCAGCCTCGACCTCCCACCGTCAGAAGACGTGACAATACCTTGTTGTTTGGGAGCCACCCGGTTTGCGGCCCTGTTTCTACAGCCCTGACAAACTCACAGAAATGCTAACTGGTTACTGCTATGAGGTGGAGAAGGTCTAGAGTGTTCACCCTCACAATGCCGTGTGAGGCACTGAAGGAAGGGAAGACGCAAGGATCTTGCACCCTTCCCACTCCCGTTCCTGAAACAACCTCTCACCAGTGAGAAGACAGAAATCAAAGCAACCAAGGAGATACCCGTGACGAGCTCTGAAAAGTGAGCTGGGCAGGAAGGCTCAGGCGCTCCCCGGTGACGACGGCTCCACGCTCCAGCGATGCGGAGTAGCTAACCAAGTAGGAGTCGCCCACTGTTCGGAGAGAAGTACTGTGGGTCAGGGAGGGGCTGGCCACGCCCCCAGCCCAGCCGCGTTCATTTCACACACTGGGATGGAGGATTCTGGGAGTGGGCGGCTGTGGAGAATAAGCTGGCTCTGCTGGTCACTGTGGTCACCTCTGCCCATCCTCCAGTCCTGCCTTCCTGCCTAACAGGTTATGGTTTAGCCCTAATATGCTACTGGATCTTCACTTCTTAACTCATGGAGACCTCAAACAATAAATAAGTCAACTTGTAGAGATGAGGGGGAAGATGAGCACTGATTCTAGGAATCACTGGGGATTTAAAGCTCCTTAATGGTTTCATGTTTTTCTACATAAGGACAAAAGCTAAGCCAATGGAGATACGATGATAAATATAATGATCACAAAAATGATCCTGGCAAAGGTCACTGTAGTCAAGCCTCCCTGGCACAGTGATTTGCCACTCCCACTCCCCTAGCACAGTGATTTGCCACACATTAACCCAACCGATCCCCAAATTCTGCCTCAAATTCTGCCTCAGTGCATGGATGGAGAACACACAATCTGCAATGTTCAGAAGAATAAACCAAGACTGAGAGAGGCTGACTGGCTTAAAATCAATCCATTAATAAGGAGAAAGGCCCCATCTCTCTTGGTGCCAACTCTTTTCCTTAAATCACATTAGCTTTACTATGGAAAAAGCATCAAATGATAATGGAGTCAGAGCAGCAATGAACTGGGCTCCAACTGATCATTTGATTACAGTCATCTACTTAATCTGCAGGGGGAAAGGTGCTGCCCCCGAGGTTAAAAATCAGCCTCTCAGCCTTTGACATAATGGTGAGTGCAGGGGTAAGCTCCCAGGCAGAGGTGACGGGGCATAAGTAACAACAAGCATACAGTAACAAGAACAAAAATAACAACACAACACTAGGAGTACTTCCCACCATCCAGGCCATGTGACTGTGTGTTGGAACGCTTTTCCCAGGTTAACTTCCTTACCCTCCCTGGGGGAAATCATGATGGCTCAGGGCAGGGACCAAGAGATGTGCAGTGTGGCCATATATTATGGTTTGTATCTAGCTGTTCCCCCAAAGTCTCATGTACTCATAGGTAGGGTTTTTGGGCAGATCGTGGGTATGTGATACTGGGATTAAGGCTGTGTGATAACTAAAATTGATTTAGCATAGTTCTAAGTGTGGATAATGGAAGCCCCAATCTGTGTGTAGGTGGCACCAATCAATAGGCTTGTAGCCTGCATGGAATATAAAGGGACAGAAAGAAGACAGGCTGCTGCTTGCTGCTTTGCTGCCTCCTCTCTGCCCTGCCATGGACTGTTTCTCCTCTGAGATGCCCTCTGCCATGCCACCCTGCCTTGGAGCCAGCCAAATATGGACTGAAATCTCAACAAATTGTGAGCCAAAATAAGCTTTTCCTCTTTTACCTTGAGGTTGTTGAGTATTTTGTCAAAGAAACAAGACAAGTAACTAAGACACCATGTTAGAAAAAATTTAGTGAGTCCACATGTGGAAAGTGCTTGAAATTCCTGAATTTCCTGTCTGCTTGAAATTCCTCATAATAAAAACTGAATTTTAAAAAAATCTCACAGAATTCTGTCCCCAAACCCTATCTCTCTCTAACAAAATAATCAAGCTTTTTGACTGCAGATACCGAGTGGTGGTCTCTTCCTTTGCTACCCTGGTCATCAGAGGGTCTGTGAGCCTTAACTAAGTGAACATAAACACGTCTAGAATGAGCTGCAATCGACAGCACATTAACCTGCAAGTATTTTCATCATTTTCCATTCCTGGCCTAACCACGCACTGCTGTTACCTGGCAGAAACTTCTTTCTGAAAGCCTGCAATCCATCCGGGGTCTTATTTCCAGTCGAGTCTCTGACAGTGAGGCCACTGATGTCATCCAGCAAGAGCAGATCCGAGAGGTTAGCTGACAAGGGTGCCCGGGTGTTGTTCACGACCAGATGCACATGCACTGTCTGTGATTCACTCTGCCCGGAAACCTGGGACAGGAGGAGGTGGACAGAGGGCACATGTGCTGCCAAGTCCAGCTTCCAAACATGATACACCAGCCCAACTGTGCACATCCATTCTGACAGAGGCTCTAAGAATTTATTGGGGTCCCTAATTTCCAAGCCCAGGAGGGTTCTGACCCACACTTGCCAAGCTGTTGCTTGGAGACAGGTTCAAAGAAACTGGGACTCTGAAATGCCATGCAATTATCCCTGCAGAGAATCTCAGAAGAAAAAGATCCAAGTGCAGAAGTACAGTCAGGGCGGCGAGATGGTGATATTCAGTGCTCCAAGAAGAGCGAACAATGGCTCTTCTGCAATCAATTACTTTGAAGATGCAGCTTCAGCCCCAGAGCCAAGGTCTGTGATGGCCACTGAGCTCTCAGAACAACCTGAGCTGCTCACTGTCTCCTGGCCCATCTTCTCCACACAGGTTCTTCCAGCAACAGGGTGAGTGGCTCAAATGGGGACCCTGTCCAGTGGCCCAGGCAGCTGGCTCCCCACCTGGTGGGCTCTGCCACTCTGCTCTGCTCCCCTCTCTCCTGCCTTATTCCTACCACATCTGCACCCACTTCTCCGAGCTCTGCTGAAATAGTGGAAGGAGCTGGAGAAAAGAGAAGGAAGCAGTGTATTTTCCAGGATGGGTGAGCTCCGGAATATAAGCAAAGAAAGCAAGCTTGAGAATTGTGTATGTAATCGATGTCACCTACAGAAAAGGGGGAGGGAAGGCATATGCATGTATAGATGCATGTACCTACACACATACATACATGCACACTCAGAACTGCATGTAGAAGCCAGGCCGTGTCATTAGAAGTAGACGTGAGAGGGGCCAGGGATTTAGCTCAGTGGTTCTGCCACCTGCCTCGCAAGCTCAAGGTCCCAAGTTTGATCCCCGGTACCAAAAAAAGAAAAGTAGACATGAGAAAGAGGTGACATTGATAGTACCCAGGAAGATGAACAGGGTAGTGCACAACCCACAATAAAACGAGGCTGGTGCCATGAATGAACTCAGCAGGCTCACGCTGTCCAAATCCTGCCCATTCCAAGGGACTGGCCCTCAACCTGCTCCGAGGAGATAACCTCCAATGTTCTTGAAACATCCTGCCTGGAAAGGTTTTGGATACCTGGGGCCCTGAACCACACCAGGTATTTGATGCCAACAATGTGATTGTGGTGAGTGTCGGGGGCCATACTGTCAAGGTGACCTCTGGAGGGACAGGAGATGGCGTAACTGAGGCCAGTCTTACAGGAGCTCCAAGCCTGTGTGACTGAGCCCTGAGAAAAACCCGCACACCAGGGCTCAGGGGAGGTTTCCCTGCTTGTTGATCTGTTTGTCACACATCATCATGGGGAGAGCAGGGTGCTGTGCACACAGCTCCCTTGGGTAAGGACACCTGGAACCTCAAGCTTGGTCTGTGCTGGGAGAGCCCAGCGCCTTATCCCTTTGTCGACTCTATCTGTACCTGTTGCTGTCATAAACTGTGCATATTGACTTTTCTGACTTGTGTGAGTCCCAGGAGTCAATAGGCCTGAGGGTGGCCCCAGAGACCCCTAACAGGGGTAATGTGAATAACCAACCACTTTCTGGGATTAGCAAGACTAAAGAGCTAACAGACTTCAGGCAAAGTTTTAAAACCATCAAGTACCACATTAATGTCTGTAATCAGAAAGTAAATGCATCATACTTTCTTCCCTGTTCCAAATGACACTGTAAATTTTTACTAACAATAATCTGTTACCTAAAGAAGCCTCTAATCTTAGTGTTGCCGTAAAAGGGATCAGACCCTGCTATGCCTGGGATCCAAAATAACCCCAAAGCCAAAGGTGATTAAGTCTTGGTTGCTGGCTAACAGAATTTGAGAAACTGAATGGATCAGCAGGATGCTAACAACATCACGTGGATTAATCCATTAATGAGTTCATGGCTCAATGGGCTCATTGGGAATTAGGGCCTAATTGGATGAAGCAGGCCCCTGGGGGTGCCTTTCAAGGGTACCTCTGTCCCTGGCCCCCTTCCTCTCTGGCTCTTTCCCTCCATCTCTGTTTCCCAGCTGCCATGAAGTGAGCAGCTTTCCTCCTTCAGGGCCCTCTGCATGATTCTTCCTTGAGCCAGCTGACCATGGACTGAAACCTCTGAAACCATGAGCCAAATAAACCTGTCCTCCTTTCAGTTGTGCACATCAGGCATTTTGTCCCAGCAATGAAACAAGTAACTAATACAGACCCCTTACTGTTTTTGTCATCACTCATGGGTCTAGACATGGGCAGAGAAGCCCAGGATTTACCACTTCTTAAATACATGACTCTACTAATGTGTGTTAGGAATAAGCCACTTTATGGAAACTTACCAGTGCACATTTTTGAAAAATTACTCCATTCTCAGAAGTCCCTTGAATGTCTCTTGAAATGTCTCCATACTACAATAAAATACAGAAATTATTAGAGAATGAAAAAGATTTTATGCTGCACATATTTAATAAAAGAACAAGATGATAAACTTTTTAAAGGAGTATAAAAGGATTACTTCCATTAATCCCTTCTTAAGTAATCTCAAAGATATTTTTCAAGAGCATTGAAGGATTGGAATTGAAACTTATAGGGAAGGGAGAATGTGGACATGAAATGACCCATTCCTGGTCAGGGAGCTGGTGGAGACCATCTGTTGTCACAAGGACTCAGCTGCACCCTCAGCCAGAGGAATATGAGCAGAATTTCGAAAAGTCACCTAACGACCAGAACCAAGGACCCTGAGGCATCGTGTTCCTGGACTGGGCTGACTCAGCACAACCACCACACTGTGGCAGGGAATGTGTGGAACACAGGATGTCTCTCCATGAGTGGGTCTCTCACGCATGCAGAATCCACCCAGGTCTGCCCTCCACCAGCCCAACAATGGCTCCCGTGAAGAGACACAGTAAAAAGCCCAGCCTCACCATCATCTGCGAGCCTCCTGCTGCCCTGTAAACTTCAGGGTTCTGTTTCCTTCACAATGTTCATGCCACCCTTGCCACTGCCCCAACCCCAGCACCCTAGCCCCTTGGTATCAATGCACAGCCTTTGAACTGGCCTGGGCCCTTCCCTCCTTGAGGTAGCTTTCTGCGACACTCCCCGCAGGGGTAGCCATGCCTCCCTCCTCTCTGCCTCAGCCCCCTGCCACCTGCAATGGGCTGAGCCGCCACCTGAGCCCCAGACTATCACGACTGCAGGTGATATTATCATCAGATCAATGGTGACAGCATCTTCCAAGTACCCAACACTCTGTCCATCATTCTGCATGCAGGAATTCTAGCTCTCCTATTTTACAGATGAGAAAACTAAGGCTCAGGCAATTGTCCTTATACATAGCAGAAGAGACACAGACACAGAGGAGGCCATGTGAAGATGGGGCCAGAGACAGGGGTGATGCAACCACAACCCAAGGAGACCTGGAGACCCCAGGAGCTAGAGGAGCCAGGAAGGGTTCCCCCTAGAGCCTTCAGGGGGAGGACGGTCCTGTCCACACTTTGGTTTCAGGCTCCTCATCTCCAGCATGGTGAGAATGCATTTCTGTTGAATTAAGTCACCAGGTTTGAGTTAATTTGCCACAGGTAAGCTCAAGGGTTCCAGTACCATTTTAAGACACTAAATCTTACACTGAAAGACTGCTATGAGGAGCCAAGAGATAAAACAGAATATAAAACAACAGCAGGGGCACAGAGCTGTACTTTAGAGCAGAGGCTTTGGACCTCGGTTCTGCCACTTCTACCCATGAGATCCGGAACAAGTTTCTTAATCTCTCTAATGCTGTTTGTGTGCAAAATGGGAATAAAAGTACGACCTACAATACTAAACTTGGAATGAGCCTCGAGTCAGATCATACACATAAAGTGCTAAGCACCCGGGAAATATGTGCTAAGTGCCTGTTGCTGTTATCATAGCATCCTTCTTCCACACCTGGGTGTGAATCATTCTGGGTTGCAGAATTGAAGCCAAATGCACTAGGACTGGCTGTCTAAGGCTCAGATTTCTCTTCATCCAAACACTCTGTGTCATGCAGCAGGAAGAGCATGGTAGAAAGATGCATGAGTTTGCTCCTCAATGATGAATACACTTAGAGACGAAATGGGCTTTTTTGAGGAGCAAAAGTCCTTTATGCAGAGTGAGCTCAAAACTGGTTTCTTTCCAACTTGTGCTATTTGTACTGAAGTGTAGAATTTGTTCCTTACCAGGTGCTGCATTATAGGAGACTCTCTTTTAAAGAAGCTCTTCTTGGGCCATGGAGGTATGAAAGCAAAGAAGGAACGAGCCCTCGGCCCAGGGGAGGCTGCAGAAGTCAGAACCGAGGGTTCGCTGTTCTCCCTGGATTGCACTCCGCGTGGTGCTTCTGCTGCAAGACAACCGCAGATGTGCGTCATATAACGCACAGGGGCAGCAGGGCAGTCACTCAGCTCTGGAGACAGGATCCATAGTATGCGGAAGGCATCTGGAAAATGTGTGCTGAGCAAGCGAAGGTGTTAATGGATGGGTAGATAGATGGATGAATGGACCAATGGATGGACGGATGGATGGATGGAAGAAATGAACAACTTATCCCTTCTTGGCTAGCAAAATGAGACCTGCAGACTAGACAACTAAGGGCTTACAGGGTATCTTTCCAAAAGTGTGGTCTCCTTATCCATCGGGGTTGTGTGCTAGAATACACATTCTTTGGCCTCAGCCATGAATCAGAACCAAACCAGAAAAGCTCTGATTCTTATGCACATGGGATCGGACAGCTCTGGAATCAAACCTTGGCTCTGCCCCTCATCAGCTGAATCTTTGTGGAAGTCACTAAACTTCTCTGTGCCTCAGTTTCCTTAAATGCTGTGGTTTAGATATGTTCTATGGCCCAAAAGTTTATGTGCTGAAGAGCTTGGTCCCCTGTGTAGCAGCACTAGGAGGTGGTGAGGTCTTTAAGAGGTAAGGTGAGTGGACAGAACAGGGCCACAGCTGCCCTCAGCAGGGATCAGTGCTGGTATTGTGGGGTGGATTAGGTCTCCCAGGAGTAGATTTGTCCCCACGAGAGCAGGTTGTTACAATAGAGGGAGCCCAGCACCTCCCTCCCTGGTCTCTTGCTCCCTGTCTTGCTGAGAGCTCCTGCCAGGTGATAACATCTGCCATGTTTTGCAGCATAAACGCCCTCATCAGAGTCCCAACTGATGCCCCATCTTAGACTTTTGGCTTCCAAGAATGTGAGCTAAATAAACTTCTTTTCTTTATGAGGTAAACAGCCTCTGGTGTTTTGTCACAGCGATGCAGAACAGACTCAGACATTAACTCTAAAGTGGACAGAGTCCTTCTGACCTCAGTGGTTCCTTCTTGGCATCTGCCTACTGTGGCACAAGCTCTGATGGCCATCACAGGGGGACCAGAGCACAGCCAGACACAAATGCCCACTGGACTGTCCAACACAAAGGACTCCCTCTAAAATCTCTGCTTCAACATATTTTGAAAATGCATGATCATTAAATACAAAGCATGGAAATGTCACCAAAGCAACCCTGGGCTGAGTACAAGTATCCTGAGTGGACACTGTTTAGTTGCTGGTCACCTATGGGACTCTGGGCAGGTCACATGCATTCTCTGAGTCTCAGTTCTTCTCAGAAGGGACTTTGGTGTAGAAACCAATTGTCAGGGTGGTCCTCAAAGACAATTAATTGCCACACTGTATATGGAAATACTTAGGAGTATGAAATGCTTAAGGATAGAAAAAACAACATTTAGAAGGCCCCTCACTATATTTCCAAGGTAGACCTCAACACCTAGGCTCAAGTCATCCTCCTGTCTCAGCCTCCCAAGAAGCTGGGTCTACAGATTCATGCAACAGATAAGATTAAATTAAGGGCCCGTCAAGGGGGAGATAACCTAGGTTATCCAGGTGGACCCTACATGTCATCACAGGTGCCCTCATAATAGGAAGGCAAAGGGTGGCTGGACAGACAGAAGAGGTGTGACCACCGATGCAAGATGCCACTCTGCTGGCCATGAAGAGCAAGGAAGAGGAATGAGCCCCCTGGCCCAGGGGAAGCTGCAGAAGAAATAGAAGTGAGTGAAGACCTTCATTTTTTCCCTGGATTTCATTCCAAGTAGTGCTTCTGCTGCAAGACACCAATGCACATGTGTTATATAATGCACACAGGCAGAGGGACTATAGCATTCAAGGAATGGTACACAAACCCTGGAGGAGGAAGGGAACAGGCATCCCTGGGGTCACAGAGGGAGCCAGCTCTGCCACACCTTCATTTCAGCGCAGTGAGACTGAGTATGGACTCCTAGCCTCAAGACTCTAGGGGAACAAAGTGGGTTGTTTAAAGCCCCCAAGTTTGTGAAGTTTGTTACAGCAACCACCAGGATGCAGTGATACAGTTGGCTAAAGTGGCCTGGGCACTGAAGCTCACATGGGCAAGGTCAAGGGACAGCCTCAAAGCCCTTGGGCCCTCCTGGGGAGATGCTGAGAACCAGCAGAGTGTGAGGACTATGGAGGGCAGAGGCTTTAGGGTTCTCCTGGCAAGGTCAGAACAATGAAAAATTTAACAAAAGCAAAACTTACCTGCAGTCTCCGGGTGAGAGCTTTCTGCATGGAGCCAAACCATACAGGGCAAGTCCTAAAAAATCCAAAGGCACAAAGTTGCATGCTGAACAACACACTAGAAGTAAGTGAAAGTCATTTCCATCAGCAGCTCTCAAGAAGGTGAGCTGCACCTCTACCCAGAAGTCTGCGACCTTTTCTAAGTCCACTGCCCCCAGCAGCTTCCAAGCCCAGTAGTAACAGCATCTGCCCAATACAGGGGCTCTTCTGGCAGCCATCTGGTAGCAGCACCATGAGGCTGGGATTTCACATCAGACAAGACTGGGCTAGAATCCCAGCTCTGCTTTCATGAACCCTGGGACCGTGGACAATCCCCAAGCCTCAGAATCCCCAGGATCCTACACGCTGTCAGAGTGACTCAAAAACACCGCACAAGGAGTCAGGACAACTGGGGTTCCTTGCTCTGTGTCCTTGGCCAAGCCTCTCAGCCTCTTTGAGCCTCAGGTCCCCCTTTGAAGAGCAATGGCCTCAAAGCTTCCTCCCAGCTTACTTAGCCTCCCTGAGTCATGAAATCATGGCAAACTCTTCCCAGTCAAAGCTCTTACACTCCACTTTGAGATCTCAAAGGGCCAGCCCTCTCTGCTGTATAATAACAACTGCTTTGTATGGAGCCCTGTTTATGTGTCCAGTCCTGTGCTGTGCACACAAGTGAATGGCACCACCAGTCCTCAGAGGACAATCCTCATTCTCTAGTGACCTCTCTTGTCTCAGGATAACCAGGTAACCAGGTAACCTGCTCCAGGCACAGATGGTGAGTAAGAGAAACTAGCTTTGTGCCCAGGCAGCCTGGCTCTGGATAAGTGCACACACTACACAGTCTCACTGACTTCTGTGGAAATAGAAAGGATGAGTGGGAAACACTCAGTCCTGGCTCCAGGCTCCACTCCGTGGCCTTGAGTGAGTGGGTGCCTTAATCCATTTGTGCTGCTTTAGCAAAATACTGAAGACTGAGTCCTTTATAAATAAGATGATTTAGTACCAGGAGTGGGGTGTTGCTGCAACACATACTAGAAAACTAAGAAAACCAGGTAAGGAGCAGAGGCTGGACTGTTCAGAGCTTAGAGGAGAGAAAAACTGCAGGGAAAACTGGGAGCTTCTTTCAGATGATATATGTGGTTGTAAGCAGAATGCTGACAAAAAACACACACAGTAAAGACCACTCTGATGAATGTTTAGACAAAAATGAGAAATAAAGTATTGGTAACCAGAAGAGAGGCCATCCTGTTGCAAGTGGCAAAGAAAATGGTTGAATTGTGCCATGTTCCAATGCTCTGTGGAAGACAGAACTTATTAGCAATTAACAAGGACACTTGGCTGAAGAATTCTCTAAACCAAGTGGTGGGGTGTAGCATGGCTTCTCCTGGATGCTTACAGTAGAATGCAAGAAGAGAATAATGAATTAAAGGTACACTCTAAAATTGAAAGAGAAGCAGGTTTAATATTTCAAAGACTGTAAAGGCTGTAAAGACTGAGTGTGTTCAGGAGAGAACACCCAGGCAGTTGGCAAGGAGCATGGGCAAGAAAGGCAGTGTAGATCTGAGGACACCAGGTGCTGGTCTTCAGGACAATGGAGGAACCACCCTGAAAGCATCTCAGAGATCGTCCAGGCTGCTGTTCCCATCCCAGGCCCAGGGTAGCCAGGCTGGGCAGGCAGGCCTGTTTCAAAGGAGGGGCCCATGGTGCCTGTGGGACCTTGGGCTTCACTGCCCAGGGCCATCTCAAATCCCTGCCTCCTGTACTGCAGTGTGGATCTACTTGGTTGATCCAGCTATGGCTCAAGAGCCCCTGTGTGACGTGGGTGGCCATAATGGAGGGCCTAAGCAGTAGGCCTTGGTAGCACTAATCTACAGGTAGAGGTGCTACAGAAATGTAGCTGTTCTTACCTGGATTTCAAAGGATGCCTTTGGGAGCCTTGGGGTCCCAGCAGAGAATCATCACACAAGGGCAATGTCTACTGGAGCTGTGGAGGTGGAGCTGCTGGCTACAGAACAGGAGGGCAAGGAGCATGCAGTGCCAGCCTGGAAGGAGCACAAGCACTCATTCCAACCTGTGAGCCCTGCTGTGTGCCCAGAAAAGTACTGGGGTTGGGACTTTGGCACCCACCCCTGGGTCCAGACAGCTGGAAATGGAGTCCAAGATTATTCTCCAGCCTTAAGAGTCCACATTTGCCCTACTGGTTTGGGGACTTTGTGGAGACCTGTATTCCTTTCTGTTTCCTTCACCCTGTGGCATGGGAGTATCATCTAGTGCTGGCTCTACCACTGTATTGCAGAAGCACACATTCATTGGATTTCAAGATTCAGCCTCAGAGGGAATCTGTCTCAGATGAACCATAGTTCGAGTCTCACCCACATCTGATGTAGGTAATGTTGAGATGAGGAGTGGACTTAGACTTTAAAGCTGATGATGGAACCAGCTAAGACTCAGGGAATGGAATGAATGCATTCTGTACAAAAGAAGACCATGAATTTAGGGGACCAAGAACAAGATGCTATGATTTAAATGCTCGTGTCCCTCCAAAATTCAAGTGAGCCTTCATTCCCAATGGAAGAGTACTAAGAGTATTAACAGTAGTAAGGATGGGACTTAGGAGGTGATAAGACCATGAGGGCTCCAGAGCCTTATAAAGGAACTAAAGGCTGGAATGGGAGTGAAGCTCAGCAGTAGAGTATTCATCTAGCACACACAAGGCCCTCCCCAAACCTCAAAATTAGATAAATAAACAGGCTGGGAGAACTGGCTCCTTTTTTCCCTTTGCCCTTCTCTCCCTCCTGCCATATGAGGACACAATGTCCAAGGTGCCATCTTGGAAGCAGAGACTGAACCCTCCCCAGACACCAAACCTACTGGAGTCCTGATCTTGGACTCCCCTGCCTATGGGACTGTGAGGAATATGTTGCTATTATTTATAGGTGGCCCAGTCTGTGGTATTTGTCACAGCAGTACAAATGGCCGAACACAGTGGGACACCATGGCAAGCCTGAGATCAACTTGGAAGGATGAGGAACCCATGGCTACTGTCCCCATCCACTGCATGATCTTTTCCTGTGTCCTTTCCATGGTCAGAGTAAGCCCATCCCTGTGGCCACAGCAGTGTCCCTGCTCCAGCACTGGTCCTTACAAACCTACAAGCCCCTGGACACAGCCCTGGCCAGGGTGGCTCTGCTGGAATAACAAGATTCCAGTTGCATGGAGGAGACCCAGCCACAGGGATGGAGCAGGATGCCCATTCAAGGAGAGATCCAGATGGAATGAAGGAGAAGCAGAAACAGATGGCAAGGTGGAAGAACGAGGGAGAACTACTGCAGCTGGTCCAGGCAGCCCTGCTCAAATCCACCCAGAATCCCAGATAGGGAGCCAGACTAGGGGCTCAGCTCATTCACATGGGGTTTACACCATCAGCGGCTTAAAAATCCTATTTTAAATAGCAAGTTATAGTACCACCACCCAATAGAGTACTACGTAACTATTACAAAGAATGAGGCAGTATGGTCCAGCAATTCTGCTTCTAGGAATTTGCCCAAAGGAACTGCAAGCAGGACTCAAAGAGACGCTGGTATGCCATGTCCATACAACACCATTACCAACAGCCGAGGGCCCAGGGTTTGGCCGTAGGACCTCCCCTGGCAATTGGGATTGCTGGGGCAAGGTGAGCCCAAAAGGCCCCTGACAGACAGTCAAGGCCATGGGCCACTTTCCAAGGTCAATCTCTAGTTCAGATTTCTCCCTGAAATACAGGCTTCCCCACCGGACACACCTCTGCACGTTTCTACTTGGATATCTAAGTGGCATGTTAGCGTCAACAAGGCCAAAGCAGGACTCGTGTTTTCCGAATATTACCAAACTGCTTCCCTCTTTTCCACTGACTCGGGCTGAACTTGGTTTTGTCTCTCTCTCCCTCAACCTCAAACTAACCCCAGCATATCCCGTTGGCTCTACCTCCAAAATATACCCAAACCCAACAACTTCTCAGCAGCTCCTCACAGCCCCTCGCCCGATGCACTGTCCTCATGCAGCTGGTCTCCCCCAGCCTCCCAGTTGATTTCCTGCCCACAACTCTGCCCTGCTGTCCCCTGTCACACCTGCCATGGGGTTGCTTCAGAATGTCATTTAGCCAGGCCTGTTCATCGTTTTCCATCTTCCCAGAATGCCAGCCAGCATCCTGTTCACAACGCTCTTCTCCCAGACCTCCCTCGTTCCACGCAGGGCTCCACCTATCCTGCAGCTCTCAAACGCCTTCCCCGACCACCCTGTGCAGACAGAGCCCACCCATCTCCTGTCCACCCTGCCCACTGTGTGGATCTGGGCGGCCCCACCCCTCAACATTTCCTTCCTGAAGTTCTCCTGTTCTGAGACGCAAGACCCTTGGGGGCAGGGACCCCTCTGGGTCCGCCTTGTTCTCTGGTTCCAAACGCCCAGGACAGTGCCCAGCACCAGGAGGGAACAGCGGGCACAGAGGCCCCGTCTGCACTCAGCCTTCACCACATTCTCTCCATCTCCTTAGCTCCAAGGAAGCCCTCTGCAGAGCTGGCACTGTCCCTGTGGGGCTGTTCAACACTGCAGCCTCACCCCAGGGCTGCTGAGCCCCGGAAATGTGTCCACTTAAACAGCCACAAGTGGCCAGCTGCTGATGCACTGCTCCAACTGGGAAACAGCTGGAACTGCCTGATAGAGGGGAGAGACAGGAGGGGCCACGTTCAGCCTGAGCATTTATGCTCCAGGTTGAGTCCTGTTTGTTTCAAGACTCTTTCTATACTGCACAACTGTTGAGAACTCCGAAGAACTTCAGTCTGTGCAGGCTATACTTCTCAATACTTACTGTATTTCCTCAGCACTGATGAAAACTGTGTTTAAACTTAAAATTAGAATATTATAAGCAGGCATTAATTCATTTTAAATAGGAATGATAATTCTACTGCGCATTCACCTAAATAGTATATCTTATGAAAAATAACTACATTTTCCAAAATTAAAAATGGTGAGAGGCAATCCTGGCCTGGCCCGGCCCAGCCCCAGGATCACGTGCACTGTCTGGCGTGTTCCAGGGCCAACCCAGGTGAGACAGAGCCGCTATGGTCCTGAATTCAGGAATCCTCTAGTTGACAAAGAACATTACCGCAAGCCTGAGACCGAGCTCAACGAGGAGGAGAAATATGACCAGGAGCTCAAGCAGACTCAGCTCATCAAAGCAGCCCCAGAGATGACAACATGCTCTGTGTTTGCAGACCCAGTGATCAGTAAATTCACCAACACAATGATGAAAGCAGGAAATAAAATACTGGCCAGATCGCTCGTGAACCAGACTCTGGAAGCTGTGAAAAGGAAACAGCTTGAGAAGTACCATGCTGCTTCTGCAGAGGAACAGGCAACCATAGAACACAACCCCTACACCATCTTCCACCAAGCACTGAACAACTATGAGTCTGTCACTGGCCTCGTACCCATCCTCAGGGGTGGCCATTTCCACCAGGTCCCTGTGCCCCTACCTGACCGACGTCGCCGCTTCCTGGTCACAAAGTGGATGATCGCTGAGTGCCGAGATAGTAACCACCAGCCGACATTGATGCCAGAGAAGTTGTCACGTGAGCTGCTGCAGGCTTCTCACAATTGGGGCCCCGTGATCAAGAGGAAGCAGGACATGCACAAGATGGCCGAGGCCAACCATGCCCTGGCCCATTACTGCTGAGGGTCTGGAAGGAGCCGAGGCCTCTACCCTACTGAAAAGTCCCTGTGTGTGAAGGATGTAGGTCCAAGCTGGGCATGGGGGTGCATGCCTATAACTCCAGTACTTGGGAGGGTGAGGCAGGAGGATTTCTGGGTGTTTGAGGCCTGCCTGGACGACAAAGTAAGTTCAAGGACAGCCTGAACTACATAGGGAGACCTTGTCTCAAAACAAAACAACAAAAACAATGACAAACACAAACAAAGGCTGTGGTTCCTTTTTGAGAAGGAGGGAGTGGCCTGTTTGTTGTCCATGGACCCCTTGTCAGTGGGGCTGGAACTGGCTCTCTGTGCCCCGTCTCCGTGTAAAGAGGAAACACTGACTTGGGAATTTCCTCTGAGAAACTCGGGGCCCAGTCTCCCCTTTCCTCAGCTCAGGACAGACCTTTGGATGCAAAAGGAAGACACCGTAGCATCAGCAGATACTTGCCCTTTATTAGAAAATCCTCTCCCTGATACAGAAGTACCACTGATTAAAACTCATTGGAGGAAAAAAAAATGATGAGAAAAATGCTACTGTTTTATACTTTTGCAAATCTCATCTATGTCGGGATTAATGGGAGAAGGTGGATTCTCAAATCTGCTTCTACATTGAAGCTGCTGCAATACCACATGCCAGGTCACTTCTGAAAAAGCCCATGCATCCTTGTGAGAAAACGTGTAGAAAAGATAAATCATGCTGCAGTACTGGTGTGAAAATAGCGCTGACTCCTTAGACCCCCGAAGTGGATTGATTCCTGAACTCCACGTTGAGAACCACAGAGAATGAGAGGCATTCTCAGTGAGCATCAGACAAAGGAAAGAACAAACCTGCCCCTCAAGAGCTCACCATTCAGCAAAGCAGAAGGACAAGTAGCCCAAGCAATAACAGACACAATGGTTCTAACCAAGGGATGTCCGGGCATTGTGGGACCGCGGGGGTGTTTGCTAAGCCCCTCCCACCAGGTGGCCCCTCCAGCTGGTCCCTGACCTTCTGCACACCTAGGAGTTCTCTCTCACTCTTACCCTGGCTAAGCGTACACATCCTTCAAGTCTAAACTGCGAATTTCCCTCTGACTCCAGAACTGAATAGACACCTCCCTAGTCCTCCTTCATGGCTCCCACCAGGGTCCTCAATGCATTTAATCACTGTAGAATTGTGACTGGTCTCAAACCCCAGAGGGGAGTGGCCATGAGGGGACACCCTAGGCCCACAGAAGGCCCAAGTTTTTTCCTGGACAGCTCACAGAGACAGCCCGGAGTGATGGAAGAGTGGACGGTGGGTCAGGCATGGGCAGCGCCAGGACACAGGTGAGGCAGGTGCTCAAGGTGCAGAGGGCACCTGGACACAGGTGTTCATGCCAGGTCCCTGCATGGGCAGGGGTGGCCCTTGAGAGTGAGGCGCCACAGGCTCTCCCTGTCCTAGATGCCTTCCCAGAGGGCACAGCCCCTTTCCCTCGGCAGGGACCACCCTCCACACCCGACTCCAGCTCCTGACAGACACAGAACTGCACCACGATGTTCCAGCATCAGCTTCCAGAATCAGGTCCATGTTCAAAGCAAGGGGGCTGATAAAGCAGGCTCTGTATGTGGGGGACCCAGCAAGAGCAGAGAATGGCCGGGGGGGGGGGGGGGCGTGCCTTCCTGGGCCTTGGTTTTCTTCTCGAAAAAAATAGGCCTGACACTTCCCATCTCCCTTGGAGGAGCCAGCAAAAGGACCCTGGGGAAAAGTTCTGTCATGGGGCTGTGCAAAGCTCGGTACATTGACGACAGTGCTTAGCTAAAGACAACCTAGGAAAACACGTGACCGGAAGGGAAGGGATCCTTGTCCAGACCCCTGAACTTTCGGGGTAGCAAGCATATCAAGCGCCCTGTGTCTGCAGGTAGGGTATCTAGAGTGACAGCCAGAGCCGGTGCCTTTCAAAGTTCGGGGCCAGAGAGGAGGAGGACCACTGTGAGGGGGCCAGAAAATCCATAGTCCTTCATCCAGTAGAGTGACGTCAGGTAGAACTCCGGCCGGTGACCCAACTCGCACCTCACAACCGCCACCACGAGGCACCTGTAGAGCTTGCCTGCCCAGGACGCGCCACTGACACTCACAGACCTCTGGGGCCCGCAATGGCCCCACAGTACAGACCAGGGCGGGGAGGCAGGGGAGGCGACGCGGAGGCCCTAGAGTACGGAGCGGATTCGAACCTCGGTCACCAGCCAAGCTGCAACCGCAACCACCAGCGCGCGGAGCCTCCCTTTTCCCCTCAGTTGCCTGCACACACGCTGAATGCACCCAAGGGACACCGCGACCTCCCATTCACACCCTGCCCTCCCTTCCCGACCCTCAGCCAACACGAAGGGCCGCCGGTGTAGACAGTCGGCCCTGAGTCCGCTCGTCACCGGGTCGGGCGCTCCTTACCTGCGGTCCGGACGGGGCCCCCAGCGCCAGGGCCGCGGCCAGAGCGCCCCCGGCCAGCACCCATGTGGCGCGACCCCGGGCGCCCGCGGGGACCATCGCCTCCGGGGACGGCGAGCCCGAGCTGGTGCGCCCCGAGGATTCGCCTGAGCTTCCGGACCCCGGGCCCGCCCCGCCGCCGAGCATGCTCAGTGCAGGCGCCCGAAAGTTTGCTGGCACGAACGCGCGCATCTGGGGCTCGGCGCCGGGAGGGAAGCGCGGGCACGCTCAGGAGGGGCTGCGGGGGTGAAGCCTGGGCGGCCGCAGGCCGCACGGAGCTTGCTTGGCCCAACTCGAGATCCCACAGTACCCAGACCAGATGGGTCGCTCTCCGGACCTCAAGGCCCCTCCACGAACCCCTACTCAGCTCTGTCTTCCCTCCTTTAGGAAATCTTCCTTGATACGCGGGAACCTCGGATCTCCGCCAATCTCACCACCGCCATCAGCACTGTTGGAAAACAGCAGCCTTCGGAGAGGCAGAGGCACGAGTCAGATCCGACAGGGCAGCACAGAGGCACAGAGAGAGCAGAGAGGGAAAAAGGCCCCTCACTTCCGGTTGGGTTCAGCTCCTTCCAGTCCTGTACCCTCTGCCTGAGCCCTTGCTGTGGATAAGCCCCCGACCTGCTGCATGGCCTGGGGAGGCAGGAAGTCAAGCCTGGCCCTGGGCCACCTCTTTGGAGAACCAGAAAGCCACCTGAGCCTTTCAAGCGCGGGAGAGGGCCCTGGACGGGCTTCCTCTCTCTTCCCCAGACCCCTCCTGGCCAGGGTGACAGCGCAGGGCTGCTCATGGGAAGAGTGCACCTCTTCTGCCAGCCTCTCCTCCACTCTGGCTGTCTGTGGGCTTCTGCCTGGGAGCCTGGCACCTGGCGACCCCTTTCCCCTCCGAGGACAGGCCTCTCCCGACCTAATGTGGACGAGGTGGTGGGATTTGAGCACCTGAGAATGTATTAGCTGAGCTTCTCACACTGGATGTGCTGCCTCGGGGGCCCCAGCAGCATGGCTGCGGGGTTAAATGCTGAGCATCTTGTTGGAGCCAATGTCAAGTGACAGTGATCAAAGAAGGAGTTTAATATCCAAACAACTCTAAAATAAGGTAAATGCAAAAAACATTATATTTTTAAACCAAAGCTGGAACACCAAAGAAATACCCAGGGGAAAGCAAGAACTCCGGGTTACTGTCACACAGAGGTCCCCAGGAACCATGCTGTTTCTTCCAGGGAAGGCCTAAGAAGCTCCACAGAGCAGAGGGTGACACACCCCAGGCCTGAGCACACCCTGTCCACTCCATAGTTGCAAGAGCTTGAACAAATCACTGCTCCTCTCTAGCTATCTGTTTCTTCATCCGTGTGAAAGACGGAGAATTAGGAGATAGCTTCCATCTCTTCCACCTAGAAAAGTAGGGGAGGAAACGATGCAACAGATTAGACGTTTTCCAGAACTCCAGGCTGAGCGCACAGCCCACCTCAGGGTTGCAGCCTTTCCCCCGGGACCTCCCGCCCCTGGCCTCACGGGAAATGAGGGCAGACGTGTGTGCACAAGCGTGTGTGTGCGCATGTGCACGGTGTGTTCGCTGCTGCACCCCCAGCTCCCAGACGTGGCTAGCACCGGCTCAGGAAGAGCTTGCTCAAAAGAGCAGGACGAGGCAGTCCTCTGTTTTTCCTGCAGGGCCTGGAGAACCTCAGTGTCTCCTCTGGTTCCTGCCTGGCCCGGCTGCAAGCACACAGCGAATTCTCCACCTACGCGCAGTGATCCGACGACCAAGCGCTCTCTCGGTTCTGCCAGGCAAAGCACTGACCCTCGCGGGGAAAACGGAAGTCTTCAGGGATCGCGTTCAGAGGCAGTTTCGGGCCGTGTGCTCCAGGAAGCCAACATGGAGTCCCCAGGACCAGGGGCTGCTGTTGCTCCAGCGTTAGGGCCCTGACAGCTCCCTCCTCCGAAGCACGGGAGTTTACCAGCACCCGTCCCCAAGGGCTGGGAGGAAAGTTATCCTGGACTTTGGGCTAACTGCTTCCTAAGCGCTCTGTAAACTCAAAGGAGCAAGGCTTTCTAGGTGCTGGGGGTTCCCTTCCTCCCGAGCCTGCGGAAGGGCTATCCTGGGAGCTGTGCTGGGCATGCTCAGTGCTGCAGGGGGGCTGGGGTGGGGAAGGCTCAAAGTTTTGGGCGGGCGGTGCAGGCTCCTCCCTCACTCTCGGGCGGATCTGGGAAAGTGGAGAGAATCCGGAAAGTCGGCGAGCGCCCCTGGCCCCAGGCCACCTGAGCGCTGAGGCCCCCGTCGCCAGGCTGCCGGG